CCAGCTCCAAGCTCCTGACCTGTGGCATTTCGTGTCCTTCTTTTTACCAACTTCTCGTTCTGAGTGACGGAGCAAAATGCAATGCACAAGAGCTGAGCACAGGACAGCTTTGAGTCAGTCACACTGGACTACTCAGGCCCTATGAGCGGGTGATACAAGTTGTTCCCTAAAACTGCAGGGTAGCGGGACCTGGAACAAATGCAAGAAAGCACGAGCAAACTCTCTATTTCCTTGGGAGCTCCACCTTCAGAACTCACAATCTATTTGCTAAAGAACAGCGCTGCGGTTGAGAACACGCGATGAAGAGGTGAGAGCAAGCCCCATCTCAGCCGTACATTCAGACACACAGCTTCCAGAAGAGCAATGCACAGCCTTGCTGCAGCCAACCACACAAAGCTGCTGCCAGCCCACTGCTCTCCAGGGCCACAGCTTCATCCCTGTCCAGGTGGGAGCAGTGGGCCTTGCAAAGCACTGCCATGGCAGAGAACAGCCAACCCACATAGCAAAGAAAGCAAGAGGAAAAGAAGCTTCAGCACACAGCCCAGCAAGGCTGTGCTGTCCAAGAGATGCCAGGTCACAGCAATGAGGTCACGCTGCCCTTCAGGACAGCCCACGGCTCTTTCCTCCACTGAGAGGGAAAATACAGAATTAATTCCCCCACTTCAGCCTCACACCTGCAGTGACACCTACTGCTGAGATGCGCTTTGTTAGCAAAGCTCCCAGGCAGCTGCGAAGGTCACCGACGGGACGCGTAGGAACCAGCGTGCCCCCAAAAGGTGAGACGTGGAAAAGGTCGAAATAAATATCAGCTTTCCAGCACAAAATGAACGAGTGGCACTTCTTGAAATGACACCAAGCAAGGCCGTTCGTTACAAAGAAAGCCTCGGCCTGGGCAGCACAACCGTGGTGCCGCGCTGAACACGTGTATGTTTACTTCGTGCAAGCAGAAAGTCCAGCACCGAGGGCAGAGCGAGCGCCGTGCCCTGGTTCGAACAGGGCTGCAATGAACTGGGAGGTAGCGCTGCAGGAAGGAGCCTGGGGCTCCTGCACAAAGCACGCCGCACGCCCAGCAAGGTGCTGCATCTCAACGGGGCAAAGGACGCGCGGTGCTGCAGGAGGAGCCGCTCTGCTGAGCGCGGCTGGGAGCCGAGCGGGGCGGCAGGGCGGGCTTCACCGCGACGGGAGCCGTCACCGCCGGGCTGCAACGCGAATGTCGGCGGTTACGGATATCCCGTGAAAGCAGAACGGGGAGAACGGGGAGAACTGGGAGCGGCTCCCGGACACGGAGCGGCACCGGGAAAAGCGAACAGCGGAACAAAGGCGCGGAGCGGGGCACGGCGAGCGGCGGCAGGACGGACGCACAGCCGGACGGACGCCGACCCGCCGCTCCCCCCGCGCCGCCTCCCCCCAGCGCTGCCGCCCGCCGCTCTCCCAGCCCCGCTCTGGAGCCTCCCGGCCCGGCGCCGCCATGTTCTGAGGAGCCGCCACCATTTTGGGACGAGGCCCCGCACGGCCGCCGCTCCCCGGCCCGCCCGCTCCGTACCCGCACACCGCGGCAGACCCGCGCCTCCCGCCGCGCACGGGCGGAGCCGCCCCGCCCCTCCACGCCGCGCGAAGCCGAGCAGCGCCGGCTGCCGCCCCTCCCCCGCTCACCATGGCTTCGGGCCGGCAGCGCTGGGAGCGACAGACGCGCGACGGGTCCGAGCAGCACCGCAAACGCGGCCGACCTTCCCGGGACGGTTTATATAGCGAGAGGGACGGGGCGGCCGACCCCCCGCGCGTTGCTCATTGGTTCAGCCTCGTGCAGAGGCGTCACCCCTTCGCGGTGCTATTGGGGAGTCCGCGAGGCGAGACGATTCTCTCAACCAATCGGAGACGGGCAGCAGCCGAGCGGGCCGCGCCGTTGGGCCGCAGGTATGAATTTCAACTTATTGCGCTAACTATTGGTCGATTCATAAAGAGGGGCGGGGACGGGGCGGGGCTCCGCCTTCCCGCCAACGGAGGCCAGCGCCCATTTTCTCACCTCTGGCGCTGGGCGCGCTGCTCTCCAGGCGAGCTGAGAGGACTTAAACGCAAACGGCCGCGTAGAGGCCACTGAAATCTGTGCACACGGAGTTAAAATGCCCCAACTCGGGCTGGGTGTTAACAGGAGAAGTGTGAAAACGATTCAAAATCCCTGCCGCCTTTCTTAACATTTACAAATCAGCAAAGAGCTGCTTTGTGAGCAGCGCTGCAGCGAAATGCAGGCGGCCGCTCCTCCCTCAGCCGAGCTGCGCTTTCCAGGGCAGGACGCGAGCTTTAAACAATGACGGACGGGACGCTGTTTTCTTCTTCCCGAGCAGGAGGCATCCGTGCACGTTTCCAAAGCAGCCCTCATGTGCCAGATTCCAGAGCGAGCGGAGCTGCGGCCAGCCGTGAGCTGGCCGAGCCGAAAGACGCTGCTAAGCACGGCCCAGCAGAGCCAGCAGCTCCAGGGCAGACGGACGGATGCCTTCAGCAGCCCCGGCTGCGTCCTCTCCCCGGCTCTCAGGGCTCCTCCAGCTGCTGCTGAACGATTGCAGCAGGTTCCCTCTGGCAGCGCTCCGACAGCAGCACAGCGGCTGCCTGCCCTCCTCCAGGGAACGTGGAGACTGCTGGAAGATGAGGAACGTGAAACGGAACAAACGCAGCTGAGATTCAGCGCTGCCTGCTGCTTCCCCAGCGAGAATCCCGGATAAATCGTGGATAAATGCAACCTGCGATTCTTACAGCGTGGTTTCTTGCCCCAGGAATGCCAGCTCCTATTGACACCACAAATGGCTCTGAAAGGCATTTCAAGGACAGGCTGCCTGCAGTTCTGACCTGTCCTGCCAGACAGCACTCACCCAGGAGGGCAGGCTGCTGGAAAACCTCCACTCTGCCTCTCATCGCTTTGTCCTCCTCTGGCAGCTGAGCTCCAGCTGCTTTGGCAGAACATGAGCAGCTTTTTGGCCCAGGTGCATTCATGGGATTGGTGCCTGCCCTGAGCTGCTCACAGCTGTGCCAAGGAAAGGAGAGCAGAGCATTTCTCCGGGCAGAGGCTGTATCTGAACAGTTCACACTTTAACCAAAGGCAAAATCAAAGCCCCCAGAAAGCGACCACGAGGTGTTTGACCACGGGACACCCCTGCCAGGAGCCACTGCCATTCACACAGCACACTGACACCCAGGTATGCAGGACTGAAAGCTGTGCTGCCAGCACTCTGCAGGTTGAGCTGTGCCATTCCAAATGAAGTATTAGGAGAACAATGCAAGAACCAAATTCCCTGAAGGGACTCCTGGTTTCCTCTTCAGAAGGAAACTCAGCCCTGGTGACCCAGAACCTTTTTCCTCCCACTTCCCTGCCTCACCAGCACCAGCAGTTCCCAGCACATCTGTGAGAAAGCTGCGTTTTAAGAGTGGGGCTGGCGAGCAGCACAGCATGGAAGAAGTATTTACACTGATATGCAGAAGAGGAGTTGGTTAAAAGGAGCGTGAAGCTGGCTTTTATCAAAATCTTCTCTCTGCACTTTTATGGCAAACTCTGCTCATCTGCTGTGGTTTCTTTCCATGTTCCCCAGCAGCTGCAAAACACTCGGTGGTTTTAGGCAAAATACTTGGGGGTTTCGTGCTCCTTTGATTCCAGGCTTTGTTGTAACCTGGCTTTGCAGGAGGCAGGGAAGCATTTCCCTGCACTATTTGTTTAAGGACCCTGAAGCTATTTCCTATTATTTCCTTCCCTCCTACTTTGCTTGTTCCTGCCAAGGAATGTAATGTTAGGCACGTAAAATAACACTCACAATCTTCATAATACATTTCAGATATCCCAAACACTCACACCTCGTAAAAGCTGCCCATGTGGAAGCAGCAGTACCCGATTACAGAGCTCTGCTGCTCTGCGAAAATAAGCAGTGCAACTTAGGCAAGAGAGAGAATGCCAGTGCTACACTCCTAGCAGAACTGCCCTGTTTGCATCCATCCACCGCCCCTCTCTGAGCCCTGCTGAGCCCCTTGTTTTGACACATGATGGCAGCAGGTTTCTTTCCAGGTTACCAATAAAGCTGCCACCACCCGCAGCAGCTCCCAGCTTCAGGACGCCACGTGCACAACTGTGGGAGGTGTCATTTAGCAAAGCTGATATCCACAAGATGTTGCAAAGATGAAAGTATTGCACAGATGCCAAAGGTGCCTCCACCCATCCCTTCCTCCCATTACTAAACCTGGACTGCCCACAGCAGAGGTCTGTGGCAGAATAACCAACACATTGGCTGCTTTACTTTTCTATGATGGCACTTTTCTGATACTAACAGTGCAGGTGCCCAAGCACTGGGAAAGAAAGGACTCATTTCTCCCTCCTCCGCTGTCATCAAACCAGAACAGGTTGTCATTTCTGGATAACCTCCCTGAGGCTGTGCCTGCCTCAGGCCAGCAGATGGTTTAAAAGAGAAGCGAGGGAAAGTCTGTCCCACAGCCCTCAGGAGTGACGCCGTTGGTTTTTGCCCCCAGCAGACTGTGGCTGTGAACACACAAATTCATCATTGCCAGTTGCACCTCAGCTGAATCGGTACCAAAAGTGTTTAATAGCACAGCATGCTGCACACGTAGTGCAGAAAGGCAGGCGTGACCCACGGCTACCCGTAAAGCTGCTGCGTTATTCACACAAGGGTTTGCAAACCAGAATACAGACTGGGCTGCAACCACCAAAAGATAAAGCGCTGTGAGAACCAGAGCTGCTGCGGGCTCCTGCAACACGCAGCCAGGTTTGTGACCATCTCTGAAGAGAGGCCACTGCTGGAGGCAGCATCCCAGCACTGCCAGCAGAAGGGAACTTACCTCCCATTTAATGTGCACGCAGCTCTTCTGACATTCTTCAGCTGTGAGACACTGAATCATCACACTCTGCTGATCCAAGTCCTTTTCAGGATGGAATCTCTGCATTCCTCCTTCCTGAACGCATTGCCATCCTGCGTATTTTCTTTATTTGCCACTCCATCAGCCTGTGCTGCCCAGTATCTGCATCTCGTTTTATTTCCAAGTACTCAGTTAATAAAACCACACCAGTTAAAATACCCTTACACACACTTTAGGTACCATATATTCTTACAGGTTACAGTCGTCAAGTAGGGCGAGATTTTAGAGAACCTAAACGTTAAGGTCTGGGGCAGGGAACATCAGCATTGAACACAGCCTGACACCTGCAGCGTCCCGGCCGTAGGTCAGACACCTCACGGATCAGCACAGCAGTCCTCTCCTCCTCCTGCTCTGCCGGGGCTGTGCCACAAACCAGTCACCCCACAGACATCCCAGCACATTTAGAACGGCCACGACACAAGGAGGAGTGACACCGAGCTGCCCTGCAGAGCCACCCTGCTGTGCTGCTCTGCAGCTCTGCCAGCAGCGCTGCCACTCCCACGTGGGCAGAGCCGGCTGTGCCGCGTGTCCTGCTGTGCCGTGTGTCCTGCAGTCCGGCGGTGGCCGAGGGGCACGGTGCCACTCCGGGGCATCACACCGGTCCTTGTGCCGCCCAGCAGGGATGCACCCTGCGCTGCCAGCCGTCCCAGCCCCGCGCCGCTGTCACTCGTGGGCCACGCGCTCCAGCGCCACGTAGAAGCTGTCCTTGTCGTCCACGCAGTGCCAGCCGATGGGCCCGGCCTCGCAGTCGGCGCACACCAGGAACTTGACGTTGCCCACGTCGCGGGTGAAGCCCACGTTCTCGAAGGAGAACATGTCGCGCACCAGCCAGTGCTCCCGCACCACGTCCCCGTCGCCGCCGTCCGCCGTCGCCGCCGCCTTCTTCCTCATGGCGGGCAGCAGCAGCTGCGGAGAGCACCGCGTCACCGCCCCGCCGCCAGGGGGCGCCCTCCGCCCCGCCCCTCCCGCCTCCCCCGGCCGCTCCCCGGTACCTCGCGGCAGGTGAAGGTGGCGGCTCCGGGCAGCAGCACCCGGGATCCGCAGCGCTGGCACAGCACCGCCTTCAGGTTCCGGCCCTGCGCGCACACCAGCCCGGCCGATCCCGGCGCGGCTGCGGGAGGAGAAGAAGGAGGCGCCGCCGCCGGCTCCATCTCCGCACAGGCCGCCGCCATGGCCGCGCAGGCGCAGCCGGGCCGCCGCCCGGAGGGCGGAGCTGAGCCGTGACGACGGCGCGTGCGCAGCGCTGAGGCGGGCGCTCGTGGCTGGGGGCGGGGCCTCGCGCTCGGTCCATCGCCGCGCCGCGCCTGCAGCCCAGCCATGGGGGGGGGGGAAAAGCTGGAGGAGCCGCCGAGCCGCGCTGGGTTCGTGCACTGCGCTTCCCGAGGACGGAGCGTTTGCTCTGCACCGCCCGGCCCGTGAGCTGCGGGATGAAGGCAGCGCTGGAGGCGGCCGCGTGGGCTGAGCGGGAGTCCGCGACGCAGGGAGTCGATGAGCGTCCGCATGGCACGGAACAGAGGTGAATTCCTTCTGGCTCAGGAAATATTTTATTCTTTATGTTTTCAATAAAAAATAAACATAGGAAACAAAACCACGGAACACTTGTGTAATAGAAACAAACGCAGAAGGTCAGAGCGTTGGCTGAAAGTGCATACTTAAGTCATGCTACCACGTCCCTGCTCCCACCCTGTGCCCAAGCCGGGACCAGCAGTAAGCTCGAGGAGCAGCGCTACGAGCTCAGGCAGAGGAGAGCCTGCGGGCAGCAGGAACGCGGGGCGGTGCTGGGAGCCGTGCTGGGAGCGCTCCCGGAACCGGCAATGGGACGCCGTGCTGGGGCTCAGCCTGCGGGGCGGGCGGCGGACAGCTGGGGGGCAGGGAGGGCAAAGCTGAGAACGTGGGGGCAAAACAGAACCCTGGATGTGACTCCAAAACAGGGCCGGTAGTAGGGAAATCCTAAACAACAGGAAAACCAACACCATGAATTGAGTTACAGCCTGACGGGGGCGCAGCGGGCAGACAGCGGTCCAGGGAAGAACCAGTTCATCAGCAGGGACTGAGCAACCGCATCGCCGTGCCCCGGCCTCGGGCTGCACTTCAGCCTCCCCACAGGGGTGGGAGCAAAGGCACTGCCTTTGGCAGCAGGGCTCCTGTGGCCAGAAACTGCAGCTCTTTGCAGCTGGGACTGTCAAGCTTTTCAAGGGAAGTACGATGCGATGAGCCCTGCCATTACAGCACAAATGCCACAGCGCTGCCTTTATGCCAGGCAGTGGATTTCCCTGCCCTCTGCCCCTGCAGCCTCAGGCTTTTGGGTCTCAGTAGTTGACAGCTTCAGTCCGCGACTCCTTGCGTGCAGAACCTGCAGCACAGGACCCCTCACACACACGTGCTCGTCCAGTTTGGCTCTGCACTGACGTGTGCTTGAGGAACGAGTTGAGAACATTCAGTATGTACAGGATGATTGGAAGCGGGAACGAAGAGCAGCTGGATTCCACCCGCACGCATCCACGGGACTGAGAGCAACCGGAGCACCCAGCCGGTCCTGCAGCGGCCGCAGAAACCACCCAGCTGTGTGCATGTCCTCACATGTGCTCACCAGGCCGGCTGATGCCAGCTGGGGGCTGCTCTGCTCTGCTGGGAAAATGAGCCACAGGAACAGCAGAAAATGCAGCTTCTGTCGACCCACTTCACCACCTTCTCCAGCTTCACACAGAGCCCCCGATTTCAAATGACTGCTGAGATCACACGATTATGCACATGCTCTAGTCAAAGCAGCACAGAAAGCTGCCGTTCTGGTGCCTACTTCCACAGCATCCGCAACTCTCAAAAACAGTCACTGCAAATCACTGGGGACTCTTCTTGCAGCAGGCAGTACTGGGGAAGTGCTTTGTAAGCTCTCTCCAGATCACTTCTCCCGAAGGACGCAGACCCCGGCGTCACAGCGCTGCATCCCCAGGGAAGTCACCACTTCCCAGCTGTCGATGATGGGATCGTAGCACTCAATGCTGCTCAGCAGTGAATTGCCATCGTAGCTGCAAGGACAGAAAGTTACTGTGTCACTTCGAGTCACTCACACCTCCTCCCGACACACAGAGCACCTTCCCTCCGGCCCACGGCCGCCTCTTACCCTGCTATTGCATACAGCCTTCCCCGCAGCACGGTGGCCCCCACGTAGCAGCGGGGGGTGGTCATGCTGGTTACAGTGGTCCAGGAATCGGTGCGGATGTTGTAGGCTTCCACAGAGGAGAGATGCGCCGTCCCATCGAACCCACCAACAACATAAATGTGGTCGTTCAGCAGAGCCACTCCAGCACCTGCGGAGAGAGGAGGACAGAGGGGTGCTGGCAGTGCTGTGCCCAGCACTGCAACCCGTAACTCTGCCAAATTCTGCTCAGTTTCCAGTCGGGGAGCCACCAGCTGCAGCCAGGGCAGCAGGAGCAGCACCAGGTGCTCAGCTGCCTGTAAGATCTGTGCTCAGTTGCCTCACTAAGAGCAGTAATGCTGTTGGCCCAAACTGGGGGTGTGGTGACGGCAGAACTGTGCTGCCAGCAGGGTGCAGGGCAGCCCCAGGCACCGCAAATAGCAGAGGGCACGGCAGCAGAGCATGGGTAAAAAGGAGCTGCAAGAAACAAGTTCTGAGACATAACTTTCTGCAGAAGGACTCGGACTATACTTTTCTCCTAGATCCTGATGCGAGGCTTGAAGTTCAGATAGGACGCCAAGCAGGAAAGAGAAGCTGCAAGCTCCAGTTGGCCGAGTAATGCTGTCTTAGCAATGCTGCTCTCTGCTGTCCTGGCTGCCCAGGGGATGAGGCCCAGTGCTTCCCCCAGCACCCCTGCAGCAAACGAGCGCTGCCTTTGCACACTGTGCCATTACTTCACACACAACAGCTGTTGCTGGTCCTTGCCAGTTCCTAATTAGGGCAGTCACAGCAGACTTACCCTCTCCCTGCAGTCTATCAAGCCACACTCACACTCCATTATGGCTCCTCCTCCCGGGGATCTAAGCCAGCACGTGAGCTCCTACCTGAGCGCTTCGTGGCCATCGGTGTGACGTTAGTCCAGTGTCCCGTGTGGGGATCGTACCTCTCCACAGAATTCAGGATGTTCAGCCCATCGTAGCCACCTGAAACACAAGAGAGGAGCAAACCGTGAGCCTGATTTCTGGACAAGTTTTCTGCGCAGAGAGCAGTAATGTGCCTGGTTCAGCCTCAGCACAACTCACAACACAGCGGTGCAGAGCAAAGAGGATCTGTGCAGCATCCCAGCCAGCACAACCACTGCACCGTGCAGCGCTGCCTCGCACTGCGCGGCTGCCACCCCACCGCAGCGCAGCACGGCTTCCAGGACCGGCGCTGGCTCAGGATCTGCTGCCTGCAGGCACCTACCGAGGCAGTAGATAACTCCATTGGCCACAACAAGCCCCGCTCCTTCCCGTGCTGTCTGCATGTCTCCCAGCATGCTCCACTGGTCGATGTTGGGGTCGTAGCGTTCCATGCTGGTGTGGCGCCGGCTCCCATCGAACCCACCAGAAACATAAATCATATCTGCAACGACAGAGCAGGGCTGGGCTCAGCAGATCGAGCACCAAATGTGCACGTGGAGCACGAAGCCCTCAGACGGAGCAAATCTACAACATGGACTGCGAAATGCAGCAACCAGCAGAGCTCGGCACGTTTGAAGCTGAGAGAAATGCAGACTGCTCACCCTCACGGCATCAGCCCGCCTGCAGAGCCGGCCAACCAAACCCAGAACCCAGCCGGCCCTTCCAGCTGCTTATCCTCCATGAGAGCTCCCCCTCCTTGAGCTCCCGTCGCTCAGAGCACAGCGGCACGAAGAACGGCGACGCGGCACGGCATCCATCGCTGTATCGCAGCAAAGAGCTGCCAGACCTGCAGGACCCCAGATTTCCGCCCCGCGCTGCCCAGGACGCACCTCCCAGGGTTGTGGCTCCCGCCAGCCCGCGCCGCACATTCATGGGTGCCACGGAGTACCAGATCCCATCCTCATCCGACGTGTAATCCAGGCACTCCACGGAGCTGAGGCGCGAGCGGCCGTCGTAGCCCCCGATGACGTAGATCCGGTCGTGCAGGGACACGGTCGCCACGTAGCGCCTCTTACGGGTGATGCTCTGAAACGGTGCAGAAAAGCAAAGGGTCGAGAGAAATGACCTCTGTGCATGCGGAACAACCGCCGTGCTCCTGTCCCATCTTTGCTGCCTTTTTGCAAAGCGGCGCACAGAGGCAGAGGCACGCGATGCCGTGGATTTTAGGGATCCGGCTCTGGCTGAAGTGCAGCAGCACTGCGTCTGCTTTCTGCAGCTTCTGCTCCTGTGCCCAGGTCTCCCTGCACAGAATTATTCTGCCTTAAATGTCAGCTTATCTCCTGTCACTGCCGAATCCCTGCACATCCTGGAGGTGTGCACGCCTCCCACCGCTCCCTGTCAATGGGGAAACGTGGAGGCTACACAGATCTGATGGATGCAGCTGAAGCTTTTGGCCTCCCAAAAAAAGAACTGAATTTTGGGAGATAAAACTAGTGGTAACAAAGAAGCTCTGCACTACTGCATACTGATACAGCTGCTTTTAAGACCGCAGTGCAGAAGCTCTTAATAAATCCCATCGTGCTCAGACCCAGTGAGAGCAGGGATCACATGGCCCACATGAAGCAGCGCTGACCCCAGTGCTCCTACTGACATCCCACACATCACCTCCAGACTCCGCAGCTCAACACCCCTCAGTGACAAAACGCGTCTCTTCAGCTCTCGCTCCCACAGCAGAGATGCGTTTTCTGCAGGCTCAGCCCAGCAGACATGGCAGCAACCTCTTCCACAAAGCTTTCTCAGTAAATCTTTACACGCAAAGCAATTCCAGCATTTTCTGCATACTCCCCCACGACCCAAAGGAGCTGAGGACAGCCCACAGTGGTTACATGGCCGATGGCACGCGGCCCACGTTTGATGTCAGCCCGCCTGTTCCACACAACGATGGTCAGAAAAGATCCCTTACGGGCAAGAAACTCCACTCCTGGGTCTTCGGGTCGTACTTCTCCACGACGTCGATGGGTGACTGCTGGCTGCCAAAGCCGCCGATCACAAGCAGGACTTCGTTTGCTCCTGCAGCAAAAGGAAGGCCAAAGCCACGTCAGCCCCTGTGCAGCCGTTTTGTCACAGCACCGAGGCCCTGCATGGCCACACAGCTGCTGCCGCTCCCGGCACCCCACACCGCTCACCCAGACGGGCTCTGGTCCTGGGTCCCTGCATCTGGCTCCGCAGCTCGGGACGGAGATGGAATTTCTTTGCTTCATCGACGAGGTCTCTGCACTGCAGGCTGCATCGGATGAACGGCTGCAGAAAAACAGCGGTCACTGATAGCTGTGGTCTGTGCTAAGATCTCCCAGGAGCTGCCTGGGGCTGTGCAAAGACACGCAGGGATGGATGGCAGCTAAGAAGATACAGCTCATCTCTTGCGGCGCTGCAGATTGCAGGATAAAATACCATACGCTGGAAAAGTGAGGAAAATCGAATTCTGCTACACAAAAGTCAGCTCAAATCCATTTGAGGAGGGAGCAAGGGCTGAGGTGGGCCTGGCTGGGTCTGCCCCGCAGCCTCAGCTCAGCATGTGCCTGCCAGAGACACAGCATGCAGCAAAGCACAAACTGCACTGCTCTGCCATTAGCTGTGCACAGAACACCCTGCTGCGAGCTGACTTGAGAAGCAGGGAAGTCTCCTCCAGAAGCAGCTGTGGCACAGCAGCCCCAGCACTGCCTCATGTCCTCCTTGTCCCCCAGCTGGCCCTGGACCAACCTCACCTGCAGCTCCGCCTCAGTTCCCTGCGGGGGTTCGGTGCTGTATGGGAGCTGTGAGTCATGGCCTGAACCCCTGCTTGTCACCTGAGGCGAGCGCTGAGTCAGGCAGAGGAGCGCAGGTGAAGGCAATGCAGCTGTGCTGCTGGAAGGGGGGAGCCTGGCTGCACCTCTCCTAGACCCATTTCAGAGCTGGCTGCCAGTGGGGAAGGATCTCTGCTGGAAATCTGCTCTGCTGGAGTTTTGTGAGTGAGCCCAGGACAGGGGTAAGCTTTCTATCTATTCTCTTTTTGTTATCATTATCTGCTTTGCCAAACTCTCTTATTTATTTCGTAGTTATAACATCCTCATGTTCATTGGTACACAGGTGCCATGTGCTGCTGCAACGCACCAAGACTGAACTCACTGTGCCCCGCTGCCAAACCTTGCGCCGGATCAGCACTGCTTGTTTGGAATTTAACTTCCATTGCAAAAGCTTAACGGCCTCATCTCATCATCCACACTTTGGTTTGCCTCTGCCCGTACCTCAGTGTCAATGACATCCGTGATGTAGCGCGGGGTGAGGAGCGGCATGCGCACGTACTGCAGCAGCTCCGGCAGCGACGCCTCCCGGTCCTTCTTCGAGTGCTTCACCCAGTTTATAACGGCCTCAAATACAGGTTCTTCTGAGTCCACCTGCAGGAAGAGGCACACGTTGCTCAGACAGGAGAGCAGCAGCCTGCGGCCGAACGGACAGCCCTGAGCACAGGACAGAGCCCAGCAGCAGGGAGCGCAGCAGATCTAAGCCTGCTGTGGGTGAGAAACTGGGCGTCAGCATCACAGCCAGGGCTGCGCTGACAGGAGCCCAGCTGGCAGTGTGGGAGCGGGATCTGCCCCTCTGCCCTGCTCCCAGGGCCCCCCAGCATGAGGACATGGAGGCCCAGAGCCCACGAGGACGCTCAGAGGATGGAGCGCCTCTCCTGTAGGGATGGGCTGAGGGGCTGCACTCCTTCAACGTGGGGAAGGGAGACCTCACAGCAGCCTTTAATAATTAAAGAGAGCTCATCAAAAAAGACGGGGAGAGACCTTCTAACTGAGCCTGCAGGTAATGGTTTTAAATGAAAAGAGAGCAGGTTTATGTTAGGTGTAAGGAAAAAATTCTTCACCACGAGAGCGGTCTGGATGAGGAGCTGCGAGATCTGGTTTAGTGCTCGTGGTAGCAGTGGTGATGAGAAGCTGGTTGGACTGGATGATCTTATAGGTTGTTTCCAACCGTGTGATTCTATGATTCTGTGATTTCTATGACAGGCGGTGAGGCAGCAAAACACAGCGTGTGGAGGAGCAGGGCTGCCCCATCCCCAGCACTGCTCCCAGGCAGGTGGTGAGCGGGCGGTGTGACCAGGACTGGGGGCCGATCCCTTCCAACACAAAGCCTTCCCAGCTCTGGGATCCCTGGCTGCCCAGCAGCTCTCACCACAACCCACCCAGATCAAACCTCAGCGCTGAAGGCACAGCTGTAAGGACCCCAGCCCTCCCCTGCACTGAGCACCACCTGTGTGCAGCCCCCATTGCTGCCCTGCGTGCTCCTTTCTAAGGTTTGCTAACAAGAGATCAGCTTGGCCGAAGGCCGCTTCTGCTGCAGCCTTTCAGAGCACACATCCACGTCTCTCCTCTGCTCAGCCCTTTGCAGGGCTCTGAGGAACTCGGGAGATTCTGATGATGGCCTGCTCCAAGGAGCTGTGAGCTCTGAATAACGACTCGATCACTCCTTTAGGGCTGAAGCAAACACCACCTCTTGTCGGAGTCCAGCAATAACAGATCAGTCCCCTTCCTATTCTCAGGGAATGTTCACCTATGTCAGTTCTCAACAAAATACGCGCTCATAGAAGACTTGGAAAAAAAATCTGACAGTTGCCAGCCGTGCCGTAACACCTCCAGAAACCAACTGTGAGGGATCAAAGTCTGCACCAAAACTCGGGGGCAAAAACACCTTTGTGTAACCGCCTGGAGCAGCGCCTGGCAGCAGCACTGCGCCCTGTGCGAGCAGAAGGGCCGCATGTGAGGTTATGGGGCCAAAGGAAAGGGGAGAACCTTCCTGCAAAGCGAACTCCCAGCTCGGGAGGGACGGTGAGGCTCTCTGAGCACTGCGGGCCGATTTCCGACTGCTTTCAACACTTTGCATCTTTGCAGAGTAACGCTACGTTCAGGTTTTACCTGAATTTCATCACACTTGATGAGCTTTTCAACCTCTTCTTGATTTAAGAGGATAAACTCCTCGTGCTGAACCACCTCTGGAAAATGTTTCTGGCTGAAGACCTCTGCAGCTTGCATTAGATCAACACAATTGTGTGTCTCAGCAAAATCCCGAATGCCCAAACAATTTGATGGATCCAGCTGGCTTTCTAGAAACTCACAGCAAGCTTGTTTCACACCTATGGAAAATCAGAGGGGTGAATGAGCACTGAACACATCCTGTCATCCTCTGCTTCAGTACAGGGAAGCTGGAAACAGTCAGGACAGACCGACTGAACAACAGTGGAACAGCACCACACGGACACGCATGCAAACGGCTCTGCTGAGGGGCACAGCAATGCCGAGCAGCAGGAGAACTGCTTGGGCTGTTTGTGCCTGCTGTGCTGAACCCCCTCCTCCCCCAGGTTGAATCCAATACTGAAAACTGTGAGCAGAACTAAAGCAGAAGTGCTGTGGCTTTGCCCAGCTGTGAGCAGCTAATCACTGGCAAAGCCAGGCGGCGTCGGGGCTCTGCTCTTACTGTCAGCAGGCAGTAATAAGTGACAGCAGCACAAAGCGTGGAGAAAAGAATCCATCCCACTCTTTCTCTAGAAGGGTCAGCTCTGCTACACCGAGAGCAGCGTGCAAAGCAGAGGAGAAGTCTGGCACAAGGTGAATGGCTCCAAGGCCCGGGCTGAGCACAGCGCAGAGGCATCGCAGCCATGGGAGGAACAGCAAACCTCAAACCACAGACACCTGCAGCCCGCCCAGCACTCAGCATTACCTTTCAGCTGCAGCAGGCACGCTGCTGGGAGCAGCTCCTGGACGTTCTCTACCGTCACGTGAACGGTTTCTGTGTACACAAAATCCAGCAGGATTTCCATGGTGGAAGCCGTCAGCCCCTGGATGTCCACGTAGGGTTTGTCCTTCTCTGAGAGCTGTAAATCAGAGAGGAGACAGAGTTCATTTTTCAATCATCTGGTCAAAAAGACACCAGTGCTCAGCAGGTGCTAAAAAAGTGAGATTCCAACAGAACTCCATCTTTTCTGTCCTTGTGCTCACCAAAAGGAGAGGGAGGAGAAAATCCCCCTGGAGAACACACGGACAGATGAGCCGCAGAGCAAAGCAGAGTCTGTTACGTGTGGGGAAGACGTTACAACCGTGCTGCAGAATGCACAAACTGCACCCCGAGCCAAAGGCTGCACATCATTCCTGTGTGCTGCCCGCTGCGCCACGCAGGGACCCCGAGCTGTGCAGGAGGAGGGGATCCAGGGATCCTTCCTGGGCTGCACACGTGGGGCCAACGCGGCATTCGGGGCTCTCACTCCTCTGCTCTACGCCCCAACCCGCACAGAAAGCTTCCCAACCATTCCACCCATCCACCCTATCAGCTCACGGTTAAAGTCCCTAAAAAGGACGACTATCTGCAGCCCATGAAATTCAGAGTTAAACGGGATTTTAACTTCAATATTAGAAACTAAAATCGGAGCGCATGCAGTGATGGCATTTAAGCAGTGCTGACTTCATCCCCTTGATATTCTGTCAGCTCAACAGCGTCACTTCAGAACAATTGCTTTCTCTGAGGACCCCTGCCCCGAGCCAACCTGTGGAACGGTGGGCTGCAAGCATCCACTGTGTGAGAACCCCTCTGTGCAGAGCTGACACCCCACCAAGCAGCAGCTGCAGGCACAGCACCCTGTGGGAGCTCATCAGCACCCCGGCAGCAGGACGTCTCCACGCAGCACAGTGCAGAGCCGATCCCTTTGTGCATCAGTGCAAGCACAGCTCACATGAAAGCTCCTCACTTTTCTTGCCAAGAATGAGAGTGAAGTTGGTTGCAGGCACACTGAGCGAGGAGAATGTGTGATCAAAGCATCACCGCTTCGCTTTGGAAGTGCCACCACAGGGGATGGGAGGGGGGATCAGAGCGGACACAGAAACTCCCACAGAGGCATTTGGTGACACAGCAGCAGTGCAGAGGTCACCACTGAGATTGAGCCACTCCTGCACTGCGGGCACCGCGATCAGCACCCGCAGAACCTCACAGCACCCACAGAACCTCACAGCACCCGCAGAACCTCACGGAAGGACAGACTGCCCTGCTGGGCCCACAGAGCCGCAGGTGCCTGTGATGCAGGAGAGTCCGGCTCAAAGTGCTTCCAAAACAAAACTGAGCCGTCCGGTGTCACCAGAGCCCAGAAGTGACCGGACCGGATGTTTGCATGACTGCAACACGCAATGCAGATGGAGGCTGTTCCTGTCCTGTCTGCGTGCTTAGAAATAAGAGGACAGGAGTTACTGGGTCTTTGCGACCAGCAGCCTTCCCAATTACTTCATGTATTGTATGTGAGGCAGAAGAACACGGGATCCCAGCACCATACCTTAAAGACCCCAGAGCTGACTGTGACACAGAACGTCCCACCAGGACTCTGAGCTCCAGAGCACACAGGCCGTATTACAGAGCTGCATTCCAAACGCATTCCTAGTGCATCCCATGCAGCACAACAGCGTCAGAAAGCCATCAGAGCACCCAGGGCAGCTCCATTCCATAGGAAATGACTTTGCAGACACCGCGTGCTTCACCCCGGATGCCCGAGGCGGCTGTGGCACACAGCACTGCCATCCCCCAATCCACCCCCACATCACAGGACTTGCTGTGCAGGAGTGTGGCCGTTCCCAGGGTTCAACCCAGCATTTCAGAACTGCACCTCGTTCCACTTTCTTATTCAAGCCCACTTCTTGACTTTGTCCTCGCTGCCGCAGATACACACAGCGTGCTGCAATAAACCCTTCAGCTCCCTGCGAACAGGGAACGCTGGTGTGACCGTGCTGCTCTGAGGGACGCTCACAGCACAGACCACGGGCTCGGGTCAGACAGGACCTTAAGGACCACTCGGTTCCAATCCCTCTGTGGGCTCGGTATGAATCTGAACGTGACCAGAAGTTGCTAATTTTCACAATTAGAAGAATAGTTCTGCATGGTCCAGGGAAAACAGGAAGGAACACAAAGCCCAAAGACCTCAGACCTCGCTCTAAGAGAAGACAGAGCGGTTTCTTTCTCAGGTGGAGCCAATGAGGAGCTCTTAGCAACCCTGTGATCCGTGAACTCATCCAAAGGCAGAAATGGTGCAGCTGCAATACAGCACAGAAGGGCTCTGCTACAGCTCCCACCGACAGCCCTCAGCACTGCACGGAGGGAGCAGCTCTGCTCTGTCCTGAAGGAACGCAGAGATACAGGCAGAGCCACTGCTCAGGGGGATCCAGAGCCACATCCCAGTGGGACCCAGAGGGATCCCAGCCCATTTCCAAAAGGATCCAGAAGGATCTGCATCTACCATCCAAAGGGATGCAGCGGACCCAGAGCCGCCGTCCAAAGGGATCCAGAAGGATCCCGGCCCACCGTTCAGAGGGACCCGGAGGATCTGAAGCCATCGCCCAGGGGGATCCACAGCCGGGATCCAGGCCGACATCAAAAGGGATCCGGGGGACCCACAGCCGCCACCCAAAGGGATCCGGAGGCCCCGGCCCGCCGTCCGCACGGACCCCCGGGGGCCCAGCCCACCTCCCGGACGGCTCCGGAGGACCCCGGCCCGACGCCCGCATGGCACGGGGAGCAGCCCGGGCCGCGCCCGCCGCCCCGCACCGACCTCGCTGGTGAACATGGCGCAGAAATAGTCGCTGCAGGCGGCCAGCACGATGCGGTGGGCCGGGAAGTCCTTGTGCTCCACGCGCAGCGTGACGTCGCACAGCGTGTTGCTCTTCCGCAGCGCGTTCATGGCGTTGAGGATGGACTTGGCGTGCGAGTTGGTCATGATGTCCTTGGGGGGGGCCATGGCGCCCGGCACCTGCGGGCACAGCCAGCACGGCCACATGTCACGGCCCGCCGCCGCGCCGCCAGGGGGCGCCCTACCGCAGGCGGCCGCCGCCGCGCCGCCCCTCCCTCCCCCAGTCTCTGCCTCGCCGGGCCGGGCCGCGCCGCCCCGGCGCCCGCGGCGTCCCTCCGGTCCTCCCGCCGCCCCTCCGACCCGCAGCGCGGCGCCCTCGCGACGCGGCGACGTTCGCCCGCACTCACCGCGCCGCGGGGAGAGGACCCGGCCCGCACGGCGCGCCTCCCCCCTCCCCTCCCTCTCTTCGCCGGGCGCGCTCTGATGACGTCACGATGCGGCGCGGCGGCGCGGCACCACCCGTCCCTCGGTTGCTCGGCAACGCGCCGCCGGAACCGCGCGGAGGGCGGCACGGCGCACTGCGGTCACCGCCGCCGGGTTCGATCGGCGGGCGCGGCGCTCACAGCACCGGGAGCCGCCCCGCCCCGCCCCGCCCGGCCGCGGCGTCGCTCAGCCACGGGCCGTCAGCGCCGTCCCCACCCCCGCCGTTGCCCGAGCGCCGCGCGGGGAAGGACGGAGCGCAGCGCTGCCTCGCGGCGGATCCCGCGGCCTTTATTGAATGTAGAGACTCGCGGCGAAGACGATGTCCCGTTTGATGCAGCCGCTCGCCGCCTCCATGGTGGCCGCCAGCCCCGGGTCGCCCAACATGCGCGCGGCGCGGCGCAGCTCCCGGCACAGCTCCTCCAGGCGCTGAATGCAGCGAACCACCGCTCCCTCCTGCAGCGGAGCCAGGGCGGCCAGAGCGGCGAAGGGCTGCGGGGGAAACGGGGGGAAAACGGGAGATGAGAGGGGGAAGGGGGGAACGAGGCCCCAGAGCGAAACGGAGCGACCGTGACGGTCCGGAGGCCGTGGGGAATGGAGGGATCCCAAAGGGGAATGGGGGGATCGGGGGCTGCCTCTGGGGAACGGAGAGTCCAGAAGGGAACGGGGGGCTGTGTGGGTCGGAGGGGTTCACGGGGCTCTGGGGAACGCCGGGGGCGTCTGTGGGAGTAGGGTGGGTTGGGGAGGCTCACCATGCCGCGCGCCCACTCGTACACCACCTCGGCCAGCCCGAAGCCGAACTGCCCCACGTAGTCCTCGGCGCTTTGGGGCAGCCCCCACTCCTCCTGCAGCCGCCCCACGCGCTCGGCCACGGCGCGGATCTGCTCCATGCCCTGCGGACGCAGCCCCACGGAGCTCCGCTCAGCCTCCAGCAGCCCCGCGGAGCCCCCGGCCCCCCAGAGCCCATACCCGCTGCAGGTTGGGAGGCAGTTTTGGGGGCGGCTCGCCCCGGCCCGGATGCACGGTGCAGGACAGCAGCGCGGCCACCTCCTCGGGGCGCAGCGGGCTCAGCACGTTGCCCAGCAGCAGCTCGGTCAGCAGCAGCTCGTGGCAGCTCAGCAGCGCCGCCACGCGTCCGGGGAGCTGCACCGCACCGCCGTCGGCCACGTAGCCCAGAGCCTGCAGCACCTGTGGGCAGAAATTGGGGCTCAGCCCCGCAGGGACCCCGCGGCGGCAACAGGAGAACCCACCGAGCGCACGGGTGGACCCACGTAACGCTATGGGCGAAAAGAGCCGTCAGGTCAACCCGGAGGGACACGAGGGACACTCACGCCCAGGCGCTGCCGGTACTCGGGCAGCAGCAGCAGGGAGCGGTCCGACAGCTGGTACTGGAGCTGCTCCACCTGTGCCTGCAGCCGGCGCCGCGCAGCGAACTGCGAGTACTGCGGGACACACAGCCAAGGTGGAGGAAATGGCAACAAATAAAGGAGAACACAGCCCCAAAATGGACACAAGCAGGGTTAGGTGAACCCAGAGACCCAGACGACCCCAGAATTGATCAAATCGCACAGAAATGACCCCAAACGATCCCCCAAACAGCCCCGAGATGGCCCCAAAGTGACCCAAATCCATCCCCAAATCACACAAAACACCCCAAATGACCCCAAGATGACATTGAAGGATCCCAAAAACCAGCCCAAAAGCGCCCCAAACAACCCCAAAAGACACCAGAATGATCCCACAGAAGAGCTCCAAAATGACCCGTCCCCCTCACTCCGTACCAGCTGGGGAAAGCGGGGGCCGTGCACGCAGCGAAAGCCCCCCAGGGCCGCCCCCAGGCTTCGGGCACGGGCAGCTGCCTCCACGGCAGGGGGGTCCCGCAGCTGCAGGGCTCCCACTGGGTCCAGCAGGGGCAGCCCCCCCGCAGCCGCCCCTGCCATGCGCAGCAGCTCCTGCAGGGCTGAGAGCAGCTCGGGGCTGGGGGGGTCCTTCCTGGAGGAGATGAAGGGGGAACAAAGTGCCACAGTGCCCCAGAACCCCCAGGGACACCCCCCAAAACAGCCCCCTGCCCCCCAAACCCAGCATCCCCAGAGGACCGCCCAGGAACCCCACAGCTGAAAGGATCCCTCCCCCCAGTAACCCTAATTACCACAGCGGATTCGCTCCCCTCCCCAGGGACCCCAATATCCATCCTCTCGCAGGGAACCAATACCCACACGACCCCCCAATAACCTTCAAATAGTGGAGAGCCCCACCCCCCTGAGGACCCCAATAGCCAGAGACCCAAATTAACCCTATGGAGCCCCCACAGACCCCAATAATACCATCAGCCCCCCCAAAGCCCCACCTTCCCCGCGCTGTCTGCCTCCGCCGCAGCTCCTCCAGCAGCCGGGGGGGGTTTGCCCGCAGCGTGCGCCCCACAATGCCCCCCAAGTCCTCGGGGTGCAGCTGCTCCAGTGCTGCTCCGGGGGGGCCTGCAGGGGGAGGGAGGAGGGGGGGGGCAAAATAACCCCTAGATAATCCCAAACTCTCCCCCAAAACGGGGAGTCAGGGGCTTGGTATGACACCCTCCCCCCCCCCCCCCACCAGCACCCTCACTCCAAAACAGGGGCTCCCATAGGGTCTGTGGGTTCTCCTCAGGTGCCTCCCAGCCCCCATAAAGCCCCTCTTCCTTTGGCCCAGAGCCCCTCCCACCCCACTTTTTTTGGGGGCTTCCTCTGCACCCACCCTCAGGCAGGAAGAGCCGATTCAGCAGCACATCCTCAGGGTAGGGGGCATCCGGGGGGGGCGAGGGGGGCGGCCCCCCCTCCTCGGGGGGTTTCTCACTCAGCACCATCGCTGTGATGGTGCGGCCCCCCCCGCTTTCAGCAGTCACCTGTGGGGGGGACAGGGGCACGATAGGGGGGCAGGAGGTGAGGGAAGGGATTGGGGGCTCATTGAGGGCGGGAGGGACTGGGGGCATTTTGGTTTTTTTGGGGGGAGGCATTGGGGGTTATTTTAGGGGCTTGGGGGTGGGGGTTATTTTGGGGAATGTTGGGACTGGGGGCGATGTGCATTGCTTTGGGGTGCTGTGGGGGGACCTGGGGGAGTTCAGGGGTTATTCTGGGGTTTTTTGAGGGGGGGAACGGTCATTGTGGGGCTATTTTAGGTACCTGGGGACGTTTGAGGGTTACGTTCAGGTGTTCAGGGTTACTTTGGGGAATGTGGGGTGGGGGCTGTACCTGCAGGATGAGCCCCAGCGCATTGCGGTGCTGGGGGGTGCAGACCACCACCACCCGCCCGGGGGCCAACGCCTTCAGCCCTGCCACTGACTGCGCCACGCGGCGCTGGGGGGAGAAATGGGGGGTTGGCACCAGGACCCCCCCATGTCCCTCTGCAGCCTCCTCCTCCAGGGTCTCCCCATCACATCCCCCCACGCCCCCACATCAGGAACCCCACAGGTCCCCCAGGACCCTCCCACCCCCTCCCACAGCCCCTGCATTTCCCCCCATTCCTGCTCTTCCAGGATCCTCCCCGTTACCCCCAGCGTCCCCATGTCCCTCCATCCCCATTGGAACATCCCTAACGTCCCCAGTCCCCCATTCCCACCCCATCCTCCCATGACCCCACATCTCCCAGCCCCACCTGCAGCTCCGCCCGCGCCTCCAGCAGCCCCTGCACGGCCTCGTGGTACTGGGGGAGGTCGTCCAGGGTTCCCTCCTGCGGGGGCTCCCCCAGCGCTGCCAGCTCCTGCTGCAGCTCAGCCACGCGCCGCTGCTGCGCCTGGGGGCCCCAAATGGGATCGAGTGGCACCGAAATGGCCCAGATGTCACAAAATGGCACCAAAATGAGGTCAAGCGGCACCCAAATAACCCCACAGCCCCACTGCAGCAGCACTTCCCCAGAGCCCCCCTGCCCCACCATGTGCCTACTGCCCCCCACCCCACACCCCACAGTGCTCCCTGCGCCACTCATTGCTCCCAGTGTCCCCCCCGCTCCCAGAGTGTCCCCAGTGCTCTCATCTCCAATGTGTCCCTGTTGTCCCCATACCCCCCACCTTATCCCTGTGGCTCCCACTGTCCCCAGCGCCCCCAGCTCATCCTCAGTGCAACCATCCCCATGCCCCCAAGGCCCCCACCGCTCTGATTCCCCCCACATGTCAACTCCCCACCCCAGTGCCCCCCATCCCGTACCGCGGCGCGGCGCCGCAGGGGGAATTCTCCGAAGCTGTTGCGCATCAACCCCTCCACGCTGAGCGCGGCCGCGCGCTGCAGGCTGAGGATGGTGCCGTACGTCAGGCGGAACTGCGACTGCAGCCCCGACGGGCGGCCCTGCGGGCACAGGGACAGCAGTGCAGCGTCACAGCATGGGGAGGAAATGGAGAGGTGGGGGTGACGCAGCCCGGGGACACGGGGTGATGCGGGGCGGCGTTGGGGTGACAGCGGGACGGGGACATGGGGTGACACTGGGTGACGGTGCTGCAGGACAGACGGAAAGCGCTGACAGGAGGGGAGGCGGGCGGCGCTCACCAGCATCACGCGGTGCAGGTCGGCCATTTCGGGCACCGTCCCCCGGCACAGGATGATGACAGTCCCGGTGCGGTCCAACCCACGGCGCCCGGCGCGCCCCGACATCTGCACGTACTCACCTGCAGAGAGGGGCTGCCCCATAGAGCCCTGCCCCACATCCCCAAACCATCCCACGGCCCCCAGGCCCACACTGCAGCCCCAACCCCGCTCTCAAATCCACCCCGTAGACCCTAAAAGCCACTCCAGAGCCACAAAAGCCCCCCACCCCCCCAGCCCTGCCCACCCCACATCCCCACCTGGCAGCAGGTCGCGGAAGTTGTTGCCATCGTGTTTGCGGATGGAGTCGAAGATGACGGTGCGCGCCGGCATGTTCACCCCCATGGCGAAGGTCTCGGTGGCAAAGAGCAGCTGGGGGTGCGGTGGGGGTGGGTGAGTTGGTGGGGGACACGTGTGGGGCTCAGTCCCACAGCTGCCCCACAGCCGCCCCATACCTTGACCAGCCCCTGGCTGAAGAGCATCTCCACCACCTCCTTGAGCAGCGGCAGCACCCCGCTGTGGTGCACCCCGATGCCGCGTTCCAGCAGCTCCGACATCTGCAGCACCTGGGGGGGGGGGCAGAGGTGGGACCTACAGCAGACCCACACCGCCCCATTCAGTGCCCCACAACTCCTCCCAGCCCCACACAGAGCCTCCCAAGAAGTCCTGAACCACCCACAGACATCCATAAGAGCCCCCCCGGTAAGAGCCCCCAAGGCTCTTTAAAGCCCCCCAGGGCTCTCTCAGATCCCCTACAACCTACCCTAACTCCCCATTAACAGCCCCCCGGGCCCCAATAACTCCCCACACAGCCCCCCAGAACGGCCCCCGAGAGCCCCCACCTGAGGCAGGCGTCGGTCCCCCCCCCGGAGCCGGGCCAGGCAGCGCCGCACGAAGCCGCGCACGCGTCCCTTCTCGGCGGCTGAGCTGAGGTCAGTGCGGCCCAGGGCGGCTGCGTGTGCATCACAGCGCCCGCGGGAGAAGGTGAAGGCCACGGCCGGGAGCTGCCCCTGCGCCTGCAGCAGCGCCACCAGCGAGTGCCACATGGCACGGTCCTGTGGGGAGCGCGGCGTGAGCCCCAAGAGCTCCAAGGGAGCCCAAAAGGAGGGCGCAAAACAGGGCGGGAGGATCCCAGAAAGAGACCCCCCACCCCGTTTGGGCTCCCCTCACCTGCCCGGGGCCGCTGCCCCCCCCGTGGGGCTGTTTGGCCCCAAAGCTCTGCGCGTGTTTGCTCGCCCGCTGCTTCTGCGCCTCCACCGCGGCGTAGTACCTGTGGGAGCCATGGGGCGCTGTGGGGCAGCGCTACGGAACCGTGGGTAAACATGGGATGGTTGCGGGGCGCTGCAGAGGGACTGCGGGGCACCGGGAGGCCGTAGGGGGCGGCGGAGCGGCCGCAGGGCGCTTGGGGCGCGGTGAGGCTCTCACCCCTGGGTGCTGAAGGCACCCCGCGCGTCCAGCAGCAGGAAGAGATCGCGGGGTGAGGGGGCACCGCCGCCGCCGGTGTAGAGGAAATGCTCGAGGGGCACCGGGCGCTGCCGAGTGCTCAGCACCCGCAGGCGGCGCCGCTTCGTGCGGCTGTGGGAGACAAAGGGGGGGGAAATGTGAGGGAAATGCCCCACAGCTCCCCCGGCTCCCCACAGCCCCTGGATGACTCTTAACCCCAACGCAGCCCACGACACCCTGCAGCCCCCCTCCCCCTCCCACACCCTCTCACCGCCTATAAGCCCCCTGCAGCCCCCCGGCCCCAGAATCCCCCGTGACCCCCACAGACAACCACCACGAAGCCCCCTCTGTACCCCCCAGCCCCACAGCCACCCCCAGCCCTCACAGTCATCCACAGACCCCTCCCAGCCCCACGACCACCCCAGAGCCCCTCACAGACCCCCCCAGCCCCACAGCAACCCCCCCCCAGCCCCTTACCCGACCCACTGGGCGAACTCCAGGGCATTGGGGATGGTGGCACTGAGCAGCACCAGCCCCACGTGCTCAGGCAGCAGGATCAGCGTCTCCTCCCACACCACGCCGCGCTGGGGGGGCAGGATATGGGACCCCCACCAGAGCCCCAGGACCCCCCATAGCATCCCACACTCCCAGTCCCTCCCTATGGCAGCAGATGGTGCAGACCCACAACACCCAGCAGCACCCCCGATGTCCCAGACAGCCTCCCTCCCCAAATGACCCTAAGACCCCCCAGGAGACCCCCCCCGCTCCCCCCCAAGACCCACACAGCCCCCTCCCTCCCCCCAGCCAGTAGAAAATGGTGCAGCCCCACAGGAGCCCATGGCCCCACATGAGCCCAAGGTCCATCAGGACACCTCGGACCCACATGAACAAAGCCCCCACCCCAAATGCCAAATTCCCTCCAAACCACCCCCCCAAATCCCACTTTTGCCCTACAGCAACCACCCTCCTCGACCTCCCCTGGTTTTTGGGGACCCCCAGCCCCCACCTCAGCGTCGTTGATGTAGTGCACCTCGTCGAAGATGACCCACTCCAGCTCACGGAGCACCTCAGAGCCGTTGTACAGCATTGAGCTGCGGGGGTGGGGGGAGGATTTGGGGCGTTCAGGGTTTCTTAGGGGTTCAAGGTGGACTTTTTTGGGGGGGTGGGGATTTTGAGGGGAATTGGGGCTACTTTTGGGTCTGTTTGAGGGCAGCGCTGGGGCAGTTTGTGGACGGTTTCAGTGCCACTTTGGGAGCTGTTTTTGGAGCAATTTTGGGAGTGTTGGGGGCACTTTTTTGGGGCCATTTGGGGCTCACCGCAGGATCTCAGTGGTCATGATGAGGCAGGAGGCGTCGGGGCGCAGCTGCACGTCCCCAGTCAGCAGCCCCACGTCCCCAAAGGTGGCCCTGAAGTCGCGGAACTTCTGATTGGAGAGCGCCTTGATGGGCGACGTGTAGATGGCCCTGGGGGGCACGAGGGGTCAGCGACACAGAGCGGGTCGAGGACCTCCCAGGAGCACAGGAAGGGGTCAGGGTCCCCCAGGGGGACCCCAGTGTCTGGGGAACACAAGAAGGGTTCAGGAATCCCCACTGAGACGCCAGGAAGGAGCTGGGGACCCCCCAGGAAGGGATCAGGGACACCACGAAGAGGTTTGGGCCCCCCCAGAGACCACAGGAGAGCTGAAAGCAGTTCAGGGAACCCCAGAGCTCGGAGGAAGAGATGGGGGGACACCCAGGACAGGCTCAGCACCCAAGGAAAGGGCTCAGGACCCCCAGTACGGGCTCAGTCCTCTGCCCAGCCGCCTCCCCCTCCCAACCCGTGGCCCCCCTCACCGTGTCATGTGTCGCCGTGCCAAGGCGATGGCGTATTCGGCCACGGCAGTTTTGCCAGCTGAGGTGTGAGCAGCCACCAGCAGCGACTGCCCCCGCTCCAGGCACAGCGCCGCGCGCTGCTGGAAGGCGTCAGGGCGGAACGGCCACTGCAGGAGGGGGGGTGAGGACCAGAACGGGGGGGACCCCAAATCCCGAGGACCCCAAACCGTGGCAGCCCCAATAGAGGAACCCCACACCCTGGCCATCCTGGGTGCCCATGGAACCCCAATATCTACACGCACCCCAATCCCCCACACTGACCCCAGACCCCACGTCACACCATAATGGCCCCTCAAACCCCAGAAGTTTTCCCCCAAACTGCCCCAGACCCCCCAGCCCCCTCCACGACCCCATACCCACCAAGGACACCCCCACAAATCACGCCGTCCTTTGAGCCCCACCCAGGACCCCCAAATCATCCACAGATCCTCGCCCAAACCACCCCCTGCATCCCTCAAGTCCCCAGATCCCCCTAACTGCCCCCACTTCCCCGCAGTCTCCTCCCAGGACACCCCCTGCCCCCCTTCCCCATTTTGCCCCCCCCACCTTGAATGCTGGATCTGGGATCTTCTCCTCAAAGTCCTCCACAGGGACGCTGCAGTCCTCCTCCACGGCCCACTCCTCCTCCTCGCTTTGCGGGGGCACAGGGGGGGTGGCTGTGGCTGGGGGCACCAGCACCTCCTGAGGGTGTGGGGGCTTTCAGCGTGGGGGTCTGCGGGGACCCCCTGATTTCCACCCCCTCCCCCCCACTTACCCCCATCACCAGCTCCTCCAGGCTGTCGGCACGGCGCAGGGGGGGTGTGGGGGAAGGCAGCCCTCCTTTGTCAGCAGGCTGCTGAGAGGGGGCACCCCCCCCAGCACCCTCCCCCTCTTTTTTCTCCTCTTCTTCCGTCCCCCCCAACTCCAAGGAATCCAACGCCCCCAAAACGCTGCAGAGCGACGGTGCCCCCCCCCGGGCTCCGGGGGCTGCTTATGTTTAAAGGAGGAGGGAACAGTGAGGCAGGAGGGGCCCGGTGTGCTGGGGGGGGGCACAGATGTGGGAGTTGAGGAGGTTCTCCTCGCTGTTCCCTACCTCTGGCCTGAAACTCAACACCGCGTTTCAGCCCTGGGGGGGTGGTCAGTAAATCTGAAGTTGGGAGGGAAGACAGAATGAAATGATGAAGTTAAGGAAGGGGCACCTCCAAAACAGCCCCCCTGGCAGTTCTGTACCATTTTCAAAGTCCAAATCCTCTTCATTTGGCCCCTGGGTGTGGAGCAACTCCAGGGGGGGTTCCTCCAAACCACCTACAAAAAGGGCAGTAAGGGTCAGCTTTAGGGGTCACAGAAAAAGGGGGGCAGCAGGTATTAAAAGGGTGGGGGTTGAGGTGCCCACCTTCCCACTGGGGGACGTCGCCGGTGTCTGGGGGAGAGGGGAGCCCCGCGTCCTCGTGCAGCTCCTACATTGCGGTTATAAGGCGATGTATAAGAGGGGCTCTTATACTATGCCAGCCCCCAGCCCCCAATTAGTTAATTAGCATTGCCCCACCTCAACAAAGCCCTGCAGAGCCCCTGTGCCGGGGTCCCGCAGCGCCCGCACGCTGCTGTGCACCGGCGTCGGCTCCAACACAAACAGTGCGCGGGGGGTGGGCACCCGCGTCCAGCGCCTGGGGGGTGGGAGGCAAAAAGAGTTGCAGAGCCCCCCCTCAGTCTGCCTCCCCTCTCAGAGCCCCTCCGAGGGAGCAGAAACCCCTGATGAGCCTGGAGCCCTGCAGGGATTTTGCCCCAATGTTCCCCCACTATAAGTGCCTCCCCCCCATCCTCACAGCCCCCCCTGGAGGGGCTCAGAGCCCCCACATATCTGCACTGCACTCCAACAACCCCCTTTATCACCCCCCCCCCTCCCCCCATACCTCTGGGCCCGTTCATGTTGGTGGGGGGGCAGCCAGGAGGGGGTCTGCAGGAAGCGCTGCTCCAACTCCGCTGTCAGGGGAGGAGTGAAGGGCGGGAGGCCCTGGGGGAGCTGGGGGGAGGTGGGGAACACGAGGGGTCACTGAGAGCATTCCATAAAGGGGGCACTTTAGGGGGGATCAGAGGGTATCCAGGGGGGTCCCTTGGTGGAGAGTTTTCTTGTGGATGGGGCATCTGAAGGGGTCCTTTGGGGGGATTTGAGGGGACTGGAAGAGTTGCTTGGGAGAGTCCTTTGGGAGGAGCAAGAGGGGGTCTGGGGCTCAGGGTGTCCCTCTGGGGGTCCCCTGGGGAAGTCAGAGAGAACCCTTGGTGGGGGAACATTAGAAGGGATCTGGAGAAGGGATCAAGGGGGTCCCTGGGTTAGTGGGATCTGGGGGGGGGGGTCTCTTGGGTGAAGTAGGAGCAGATCTGAGGGGGTCAGGGGCTCTGGGGGAGGAGTCAGGGGGGTCCCCGGGGAGCGGGCTTCACAACGCTCTTTAGGGGCTCAGAGGGGGCCTGGGGGGCCGTCAGGAGGGGGAAACGTTGGAGGAGGGCTGGGAGAGGAGGGAGGGGAAGGCAGAGGCTACGTAGGAGTCAGACGGTGTCCAGGAGGGACTCACCGTGCTGCGGGGGGGGGCGGGACCCGGCAGCAATTCGCAGCGCCCGGCGCAGCCCAATTCCAACAGTGCCAGGGGGAGGTGCAGGGGCCCGGGGGGGGGCAGCACTGGGGGGGGCGGAGAGGAGCGAAAAAATACAGAAGACGATCAGAGCTCCACAGAACACCGCCCCCATCCCGAACCCCACAGAGGCCCCTCCATAGGCCCCACGACCCCCACCGGACCCACAGACCCGCCTCTCCCCCAATACAGACCCCACGACCCTCCCACAGACGCCCCCACCCCACCGATCCGCTCCAGCTCCATCCCCACTGCTCCGCCGGGCGCTGACCCGGAAACGCTCCCCCCTGCCCTCAGCGAAAAGCGGAAGTTCCGGCTGCTAACCGGAAGTTCCGGATGCCGAGCGGAAGTCCTGCAGCCGAGCGGAAGAAGTGCGGCATTGCGGCCGTTGTCAGGGAGACCGGAGTGAGCCGGAGCTCCGGGGCCCCCCGCAGCTTCTCAGAGCCCCCGCCGGGATCCGCCGTTCCCAGCCATGTTGACGCTGCCGCCGGGGCTGACGGAGGAGGAGGAGGCCCTGCAGAAGCGTTTCGCCAAACTGCGCAAAAAGGTGTCGGCCTGGACCCACGCGGACCCCCAGCGGCCCCTCATTGCCTCCCCATTCCCGTCCCATCCCCTGAACGCCGTCTCCCCGCAGAAAAAGGCGCTGCTGGCGCTGAAGAAGCAGCAGAGCAACACCGGGCCCAGCAGCCAGGGGGGCATCAAGCGCTGTGAGTCGGGGTGGGGGGGCCCTAAGGGAGGGGGGGAGGCTTGGAGCCCCTCAAGGCCTAAGGGATGCGGGGGGCTCGCGGTGGAGGGAAGCGTGGTTTATGTGGGGATGGGATTTGGGGAAGGGCGTTGGGGGGGCGGGGTTTGTTTTGACTTTGGGAGGGGTGAGGTTGAGCCCCCCCCACCGCAGCCATGTCAGACCAGCCCCCGGTGGACACCGCCACGGCCACCGAGCAGGCCAAGCTGCTGGTGAAGTCCGGTGCCATCAGTGCCATCAAGGCCGAGACCAAGAACTCGGGCTTCAAACGTTCCCGGACGCTGGAGGGGAAGCTGAAGGTGAGGAGTGTGAAGATGAACCCCTCCAAAAAAAAATCCCAGGGCCGCAGCGCCCCCAGAGCCCCACACAGAACCACAGAGCTCCCCTCAAATCCTATGGAAACGACCCTGAAACATCAAAGTTCCACAAAAACTTCTCCAAAACACCACAAATTCCACAAAAACAGCCCCCAGAACGCCACAAGTACTACAGAAAGGCTCCAAAATGCCACAAAACACTCTGAAACGCTCCAGATCCCCCAAAACACACCAAACCACCTCATATTTCCTGCATTTTGCTTCAAACCACCCTCCCAAATCCTTCCCATTTTGGCCCAAATCCCACCCAGAAATGCTGAGCCTCTGAAGAAACACCCCAAATCCCACAAAGCCCCTCACTGCCCCATAATTCCAACGAAGCCACTCAAATCTTCCTCATTTTGCCCCTAAATCCCCCTCGTTTCCACCCAAATCCCACCCCAAATTCCCTAACACCCCCTGAACTCCACCTCATCTTACCCAAGCCCCCATTTTCCCCAGATTCACTCAAAATTCCCCCCGTCACCCCTCTCCCCCTTCCTCTGTATTCTTTATACTCCTCCCAGGACCCCGAGAAGGGCCCAGCCCCCACCTTCCAGCCCTTCCAGCGCAGCGTTTCGGCTGACGATGACACCCCTGAGGTACTGGGGGGGCAGGGAGGGACAGTTACTGAAGGGGGGCAGGATACCCAGAGCGGGGATTCAGTCGTAACCTCCCCTACCCCTGCAGTCACGGCGACCCCAGAGAAAATCGCTCTATGAGAGGTGAGTGCCACCCTCCCCTTTATCGCCCCCACCCCTTCATTTGGGACTCCCATCCCTTTCTTCTGGTCTCTACCCTGACGCACACCCCTCCCCCCATCTCCGCCCCCCCATATTTGAGCCCTGTCTCTGTGTTTATTTTGCTCCCCTCTCCCCCAGCTTTGTCAGTGCCAGCGAGCGCCTGCGGGAGCCCGAAGCCGGGGGGGGACGTGGGGACCCTCCTGAGCGGGGAGAGCGTGAGCGCCGCTTGGACTGGGAGCAGGAGCCGGAGCCGGAGGAGCGGGGCGGCCGCGAGCGCGAGGCAGCTTTCAGGCGTAGGGGGGGGTCCTCAAATCTGGGGGGAGTTTGGGGGTTCTTGTTGGTTTCAAGGGGGTCCCGTGGTGGCTCTGGGGTTCATCTGGGGGTGCTCTCCATGGAAAGGCCCCCGGCGCTGGGGGATGTCCTGGTGGGGGGGTGGAGGAGGGGGTTTTTGGGGGCGTCGCATTACGGGGATCCTGCTGGGGGGTCCCCCTGAAGATGGGCCCCATGGGGCGGGATCCCGCCTGAGCATTCTGTTGTTGGCGTCCCATTGGGATTGGGGGTTCTCCCGGGGTGTCCGTGGGGGGATGTCCCTCAGTGTCCCCACCGCGCCCCCCAGGTTCCGACTCGTTCCCTGAGCGCCCCTCCCCGCGGAAGGGCAACACGCTGTACGTGCACGGAGCCGAGCTGAGCCCCGAGCTGCTGCGCAGCGCCTTCGCGCCCTTCGGAGCCATCATCGACCTCTCGCTGGACAGCCCGCGCAAGTGGGCGGGGCCACGGGCAGGGGGCGGGGCCACGGGCAGGGGGCGGGGCCGTGGAGCCAGTGATGGGGTTGTGGGGCAGGCGGGGCCGGGGCGGGGCTAAGGGTGCGTGGGCGTGGTCACAGGCCTAAGGGAGGGCTGAGGAGGGGAGGAGGGTGGGGGGGGCGGCGGGGCTGGGGTCGCTGATTTGTGGTGCCGAATGGGGAGCGGCTGTTGGGGTGGAGCTGTGCCGACCTCACCCCACTGCAGCTGCGCCTTCGTCACCTACGAGAAGATGGAATCGGCCGACCAGGCCATGGCCGAGGTGGGTGCTGCCGTGCGGGAGCTGTGGGGGGACACGTGGGGTGCTCCCAAGCGCTGACCCCCCCGGTGCCCCTGCAGCTGAACGGCGCCGTGGTGCAGGACGTGCAGCTCCGTGTCAGCATCGCCCGCAAACAGCCGCTGCTCGACGCTGCCACCGGGAAATCGCTGTGGGGATCCCTGGGTGAGCTGGGGGAGGCACCGGGGGGCACAGGGACGTGGGGGTGCCAGCAGTGCTGAGTCCCTGCCCCCCTCCTGTGCCTCCACAGCGGTGAAGAACAGCGCGAAGGGCTCCCACCGCGACAAGCGGGCGCAGGTGGTGTACAATGAGGATCTCTTCGGGGGGCAATAAAGGTTTACTGCACACTGCAGTGGTGTGACAGGCTGAGAATGGGGCACTGCAGGACACGGGGGGCTGTGAGGGGGGAGGAGGAGCGGTGATCAGCTGCACACCCACCCATAACTCAACTGCAAGCCTCACCTGGCTGCGGTCCTGAGTGTGCTGGGCTGCCCGGCCCTGCTGTCAGCAGCACAGCTCTGGGAATCCCTCCCAGCTCCCAGCCTCCCTCTCTCAGATTCACACTGCACAGAATAGCAGCTGAAGGCTTTAGGATCAAATAAGCGAGGGGTGCTGTTCGAGCTCATTCCTTTCCATGGAGCAATGATGGCAGTAACCCGGTGGCAGCAGCACTGCTGGGAAATCAGAAAGCGATGGGAGGGTGGATGAGCACCATCCTGCTCCGCCTGAGACCACAGACAGACGTACAGCACTGCTGTCCTGTGCCAGCTTTATTTAAAAACACAGCCGGGAGCCGCTGGCGCAAACAGAGGAGCCTGACTACGTTCATACAATATCTTAAATAGAAGGCAAATATAAAATGAAAGATAAAATATTTACAGTAACAATAACGGCATACACAAAACGGGCAGAGTCCCACCCAGAGGCGAAGGCTGACAGCAGAAAATCACAAAATCTTCTGCTGAATCACGGCATCCTTCAGCCGGCCCAGGGCTGCACGGCGCCCACAGCGCTGCCCCCAGCGGCCCGGCCGGCTGCGCTCCGCTCCCCTGAGCCGGGCGTCGCTGCGGGGCGGCACAGCACAGAAATGAAGTATTTACAATAAACGCCTCTGCCGGCAGCAAACGCCTGGGAGCCCCTGCGGCATCACACGTCACAGTAGGAAAAGCCTGAAGTTCTGCTACAAGTTAAGAAAATAATCCCGAAGTTGTCTGCGAGGGAAAACACGGAGCAGAGCGGGGCAGCAGCACAGCCGTCCCGCAGGGCCACAGCCGCACGTCGCTCCCTGCCGCCCTCGCACAGCGCCCGGTGCCGCAGCAGCTCCGGCCCCAGCGCAGGGAGCTCCGGGAGCCCAGAGGCGCCGCCGCCGATCCTCGACAGCCCCACCTGCCGCGGAGCAGAGGAACGCCGGCACCCGGCTCCGACCGGAACGCGTCGGAAGTACGATTAAAAAAAGGGGGCGAGAGCAACGCACTGCAGCGCGCGGCTCCTTCTCCCACTGATGCCGCATCGCTGCTGAGAACCGGGAGGCAGCGCGGAGCCCCCAGCCTCGGCGGCACGTTTGGTCCCAAACACCAGAATAATTCTGCTCCCTCCCAGCCCTCCGCCGTCACGAAGTTGCCTTGAGGGATCCAAGTCAAAACAAAAGCAAACACAAACGGAAGAGCCGGCAGAACTCCGGAGACACGGCAGCTCCCAAGAAACCGGAACAGCAAAGCTTCCAGCTGCTCCCCACGCTGAGCGCGGCCAAGGGAGGAGGAAGGAAGAAGCTTCAGCTTTAAGCCTTCAGAGCATCCCTGGATCAGATCAATTCGCAGCCAGCGCAGCGCTGGACGCCCTCAGGGCTGAGTCAGAGCTGCTTTCTCCTCTTGCTGCTGAAAGGAGCCAACCAGGATCAGGGAATGGACGCGCAGGACCTCAGCTCTGACCAGCAGGAAAACTCAGGACAACGGAATGCAGGCTGCCAATTTCTACCAGTTCAGCTGTGCTTTAAGACTCACGGTGAAGCCTCCTTCACAAAAAGCATCACCCCGGGGTATCCAACGAAAAAAAAAAAAAAAAAGTTTTAATTTTTTTTTATCTACCATAAGACTGCAGTTCAACTGTCAATCATCTCAGAAAGTTCAAGAAGGAGGTCATCCTCATCCTTCCCCGGGTCCAAGTCAATTTCTGCTTCCAGTTTCCCTCCTGAGATTTCCCAGATCAGCTTTTCAAAGTCATCCTCCACAGACAAGGGCGCCTTCCCAGCCCCCGTGGAGCTCAGCTGCTGCGCTTTGGCCGCCGACTGGGAAGAAGCTGAAGCTGCACTCGAGTGCTCCGACTGCTCCCCATGGTCTGCTTGGCTCCCCCGATGCAGTTCAAGGCTTGGGA